AATAAATATATATATATATATATACATATAAAATTTTCTTCTGGTGTTATCATGCAATAAAAAATTGTAGCGGAGAATATATGTACAGAAGCGTATCTTTCTTAGACTGAATATTTAGGACCACATTTCTTAATTGGCGTTAATCTCAGGCCTTTAGCCAACATTTGAGCTTCGAGGTCGCGATCTTCGTTTTGATATCTAAAAGAGAAATAAATATATTTGTATTAATTTTAGAAAAATAGTATATAACTTGTTAAAACTGTATTCACAAAAATTTATTTAGTCCAATCATCATTTTTCTTCAAAAACATTTACACTTGATCTATCAAAGAGAAACATTTAGATTAAAAAAGTAATTTTAAACACATTTCTATTATTAGCTTATTTCTTCTTTTTACATAATACAATACAAATAAGTCATAACATATAACTTTTTGCATCTTTATTTTCTCAAAAAACTTAAAAAAAATACACACACGACTACTATTTAAAAAATCTGTGTAAAGAGCTATTAACGATTTCTGACAATAATTAATAAATATTTCCACTATATGAATTGAAAAAAATATAAACAAATAGAATAGTTAATAATTTAAAAATGTATAGTAAATACTCAGATTTGAGAGAAAATAAAAATATGGACATAACATGCATTTGTAGAAGTAATATGTGTGTCAAACACGATGATTTACACCACCTTTGTCGTTCTTCTTCTAATAGAGCGATTAAGGAATCCCTTTTTGCTACTATCTCTAACATTTCCGTCAAGATTTCTCCTTCCTTTTTAACATCATCACTGGTCTTTTTATCATCTGTGAAATTATATTACAATTTATAAAACCGTTATATGCTTATATACACATTGTAATCTAAAAATTTCTTGCTGATAATAATATGTTAATAGTTTTATCATTTAAATATGTCATTCTTAACATTTTGTGTTTTTAATAGAATATTTAATGTTCGATAAATTCTAATAATTATCATAAAATAATAAATAATTAGAAAATTTAGAAATATTTACCATCGTCAGCTAAACGTTCACGCAATTCTTGTTGCAATCGCTCATGACGATCTTCCAATTGAACTTCTTGCGCACGCACTAGAAGTTCCTTTTCGTATCTACGCAGTTCCGTACGTTCTTTCATTAAATCAAACCATTCCCTAAGCAAATCAGCTTCTTCACGGTTGGAAGAATCTAAATGAAATTATTTAATATTTCATATTATATATATATTTACACATATATAAAATATTTATTTTAACAATTAATATGTATTATTTTTTATACTTTGTTTTTTTAAATTAAAAGCAATTAAAGCAATTAAAGGTCGATATACAAATCAAATAAAATGAATTTGAAATTACAGTAATAGTAAATTAGATATATAAGCAGAATATTATATTCTAATTTTAAGATATAATAACGAAGATTAAATATTAAAAATTTGGAAGGATCTATACATATGTAAATAATATTGTATTACCTCCTTCACCACGCAGCGCTTTTTCGACACTTACGCCCCGGCTTTCTAATTCCTTTTGTTTTACTTCGGTTTCTTCCAGTTTTCTTTGTATTTCTTGAGCCATTCGTAATCTTTAAAATGTATTTAATTTAGCAGAATTTTCAAATTAAAAAAACTGCACTACAAGCATATATAAGTATGCTCAAATTTGTCTTAGCATGTTGTTCTCTTTATTTAAATATAATACAAGTATATTATGTCTTACCTCTTTAATTGTGCTTGTCTAGTTATTTTTTTAGCAGTCTTCAATTTACGAGAAACGCTATTGCACAATTCTTCAGTTGCCGTAACTTTTTGCATGCATGACGTTGATAAAGCAGTTGTTTTGGTATCGTCATCTGATAAACTGTCATCTAAAACATAAAAGTATAAAATTATATCAATATATAAAATTATATCATAATACAATATTATTTTGTATCTTTATATCATTAACGAGATAAATACAAATATAAGAGGGATTAATACATTACTTTCTGTTTTGTAACATAAGAGTTATTTTAAAAAATAGCGTACAAAATATAATAACTCACAAAACAGAATTGTTATTTTATGATGATGAAATCAAATAATTTATGTATTTATTATCAGAAAAAGTATGCATGCAATGTGCATGTAATACAGATGTATACTCTATAATTTAAATAATGTTACAACATATTCTCGTAAAATGATAAGAATACTTGCATAAGTCATACCTGGTGACACTTGAGTGGTATACGTAGAATAATTAAGCGGTGGTGGCGGCACAGGTGGTGACTTTTCAGTGAAGAAATTTCCTACGAGCATATCTTCGCATACACTTTTAGGTCTCATGTCGCATTTCGATGGAATAGTTTTATCAATCTGCATTTTACATACCGAAACAATATATTATAGTTTTCTTTCTCAGAACACTTCATAATGTTAATAATAATATTAATGATAATAATAATAATAATATGATAATAATATGACTTACTTTTCCTTTTGACCCTCTTGAAGTCAGTCGGAATACTGATAACTTGTCCTTCTGATTGGGCGATGAATTTGTTTCCTTTTTGAAGAAGAAATCTGACACCGCCTGTATAATACTTTTTCTTCTCTCCGAGTCCTTCGGCTTTTTGTCCCGTTTGATTACCATGCTATTATTATCCGAAAGTGATAGACCTGCAGTATTTAGCATCTCGTCCATTGATTTCGCGCTAGTCGCTGGCAGTTTTTGAAAATTGATTTTTTTTGCGATGTTTTTCATATTATCGGTACTTTTGCTGATTTGTAATTTCAGCTCCGAATTATGTATTGCGCTAAAGTTATACGATTTAATTCTCTCAGTCTTCGGCGTATCGTCCTTTTTCGTATCGTCCATTGAGAGTTGTCTCCGCGTCACCTTCATTCTTAATTCCTTGATTCTGTCTTCAGGACTTAAGCCCAAGTCTTCATCGCTTTTCATTCTAGCTCGTTCTCGAGCATCTTGTCTGGCTTTTTCGGCAGTTCTCCTCACTTCCTCGTTTTTCAATCTTGATGGCGCAAGTGGCGTTTTAAAAGCATCCTCTAGACTAGTAATAATCGACTTTTCGTCTGCCTTCTTTGGGATTTTTTCTTTGGTTTCTTCTTGATCGGTCTGTTCACAAGAGTACAAAGACATCGAAAGATTCGACGACTTACTCGCTTCCCCGAAAATTGTGTGAGTAGGACTGTTTATTGGCGACATTATAGAAGTAGGCACAAACTTGTTACCAACGGAAGAAATATTAGATAATGATGGTTTTATCGGTGATAGCCCGGTGGTAAAAGATGAAGCTCTGGCAGCTCTTCGGGCCTTTTTTTCGGCTGACTTTTGTTTGTGAGCCTCAAGTTTATCCATAAGAAGATCTTGAATAAGATCCTTTTGTTTTGATCGTTCTCTTGTAATCTCTTCAAGTTTCCTCGAGGTCGCTGGTGAATTGATACCATTACTGTTACCGTTTACACTTATTGTTTCTTGACACTTAATCTCTTCAGTGATCATTTCTGCAGTGCGTGTCTGCGCTACTAAGCTTTTCGAATTTTTTCGTCTTGATTTTCTTACGTCAATGGAATCCTTGGCGTTGCTAAACTCTGCGATTCGAGATTGCAATCTCTTTACATATTCTAAATAGTCTGGATTGTTAGAATCCGTCTTGGCTGATTCCTCGTGTTTTTCTGTCATTTCTACAGGAACTATAGACACCTGAGGGTTAATCGGACTGGCAAGCACTGTAACGACTTCGCTAGTAGTCGTATCCTCCGCTGGTTCAACAAGTAACAGACTATCTTCCTCCATCGATTGAAGTAATTCTTTGTTAAAAGCTTCTGCTAATTGTTCCCGCTTCACGTTCTCCTTAAATTCATTTTCATCTTGTTCCTCAGTTTGAATTTTCGGCTTCATTGATGATTTATTCATAATAGGCTCGTTTAATTTGCCCATCACATCCTCCATAGTAATTGGATCAATCTCAATCACATTAGCGTCCTTGAAGCCTTCTTCTTCGTCTTCATCGTACGAGTCATTTTCCAGGTCGAGTCTCGCTATCGGTGCGTCAGCGACTGGTAGATTGCGCATGTTAGTTGAAACAGGAATGTTGGAAAGAGTCGTCTTGACATTTACGAATTCGATGTAGCCTCGATTTTTCAACATCGCGACATTCGAGGCATCTTGGAGACTGTCATCCAGCAGTGACTCATTGTCCGTGTCCATGTAATTAATATCTTCGCCATTGACTAACAGTTTTGACGTGTTATTGTTCGGGTATTCCTGTTGATCGACTACCCGATCAAGCTTGAAATAGTCGAGTTCCGTATCCTCTTCTTTAACAATTCTAGCAAGTGTAGAGGATAGTTTTGTATTATTCTTTCGTACAGTGATAAAACCAGGATCAATATCGAGTTCTACATCACGAAGGTCTTCAGAAACCAAAGCTTCCCCGTCGCGAGCCCATTCGGAAAATTCTGTTTCAGTAAATGCTGCGGTGGTAATGTCGTTTTCCTCGGAATCGTCTTGTTTATTAGACACTGCCGAAGCTTCGGAAGTAGAACTACTGCAGTTACTCTTCCTGCTGTCATCCTGCAAGTCTAATTGTTCCATATTATTATTTATCACTTCAATAGTATGTGTATTGTTAATTGAATCATGTAATCGGCGATCCTGCAGAAAGGAGACTTCGATAGAATCGGGTTCGAAAGTCTGGCCATCGTCGAGATTATAATGTTTGTATTGATCAATTCCTTCATCCAATAAAAGATCGCCATCGGTACTGTGAATCTGCAATCTAGGCGGCGAAAAATTTACAGCAACAAGTTGTTCGTTTTCAATTGCTTCGTTAGAATTGGAGGAAGATAATGAATCACTATCTATCTCAGAATCGCCCGAACTGGCATCCTTGTCTTCGTTCTTCTTGCTCCAATCCACTTGCGGCACGACAATAGATGTTTCGTGAAGGGGACTACGCGGTCTAAAACCATTACTTTCTTCCATATTGTTTGATAGAATTTTCTCAATATTTTGCGAGCTTTTTATATCCTCTACGGCGTTTTTTGTCAAGTTATTAGTTTGCTGTAGAAATACTTGTTCGTTGATTAACTCCCTGTCTTTCATCGATGATTCACTGCAGATATTGGGTGCTGTCTTCGATTTCAAGATACTGGATTCTTTCACTAAATCAGGTAATTGCTGCGTCTTGGATGTTTCTATCAAGGTGGTCGGTTTTGCGATATTATTCGATGAATTTCGGCAGTGATCAGATGATAATTGTCGAGAAAATAAAATTGTAGGCGATAATGGAGAAAGCGGTGCATTGTTGATTCGCAGTTTACTAGTACCTTAAAAAAATACAATCATACACATAAAAGATGTTTTTCAAGAATATAACATTTTACAAATTTTTTTCTCTTTTTTTAATAATTAATATATCATAAATATTGTTATATATGTTATATAGACATTTTAAACCGTGTGTGGAAACACAAAACGCTTGAACTCGAGGATTAGCCGTAACTCATACAGGGCATTATAAGGCTACAGGACTTTGAAACATATTACCTCACATTCACTGTTCACAAATTTGTATTGTTATTATTATTATTATGTTAGAAACTCAAAAGTAACACTTCAATGTAGAACACGTGTGTTAATTAAGTTTGCATACTAAAAAAATTTCAAAAAAATTATTTTTAATAAATAAATCGAGTTTCTAACAAAATAGCTATAATTATAATAATAAAGAATTTGTAAACGGTAAATGTACAGTGAGGTAATATATTTCAAAGTCCTATAGTGCCCTGTATAAGTTACGGTTAATATCATCCTTGAGTTCAAGCGTTTTATGTCTCCGCGTATGATCTAAATTCTAAATACTATGAAACAAAAGGAGTGGGGATGACGATAGGCAATATCGAAATGTGTAACTCGGCTGCAGGCCTGTGTTATTAGAAATTTTTGAATATTAAAAATGTTATAAAATAATATAGAAATTAATATATTAAAATATTATTAAAAACATGAAAATAAGCATAAAAATAAAGGTACCTTGAAGAAACGCCTGCATGGTAGGACTAGGCTCTGGTGCAGGATTTAACAACTTTTGATGTTGGGAGATTGCATCAGTAAAATTTCTCAACTTCGTGTCCACATTAGACGTCGAACCTGATTTTATGACGGAACCACCCAACGCTGATCCTCCCAATAAATAACGTTTTTTCAATTCTAAAGAGAGCCTCGAAGCGATTCCGCCAGTGGAATGAGTACGATTCAGAAGATAATCTCCCTTTCGTGGATTTAACAATGGTGTGCAGTTATTTGTGTCAACAGAAGCTGGCATGTTACAATTTACTTCTTTATTCGACTCCATCTTAATATGGTCTTCCAAAAATCGCTCCCTAGTGTCTTGCTGTTTCTTGCCTTGCGTCAAGTTGCCATTGATCGAAGAGATCATCTTACTCTTCACCTGCACCTTCTTCGGTTCAACATAAGTGCCTCTCGTTTTCCGCACATAAGAATCGTTGATGGTAATTTCGGGAATCTCATGCTGTGTCGGAGTCGCTTCATCGTGCTCGAATTCAGAGTCGGTCGAAATCTCAGTTGCGGAATTTTCCACACTTTCATTAGTCGATGCATCTTCCGAAGATACAACCTACAGATCAAAGTGTGCTAAATGAATAAAAATTATAATAAATATATAATTAGAATAATAAGTAAGAGTTTAGTAAATTAGTAAGTGTTGAATAAAGAAAGACATAGATGCTAATATTCTGATTATGAGTGGATATATTCTGACATGTGTTATTTCTGTAAATAGGTTTTATATGTATGTATAAACCAATATTTTATCGCATATTTTATAATTAAAACAAAAACGTGGTGAGATATTTAATAAAGTACTGGCTGGTGGTAATTTCTAAATGAATTAGTCAATATTGGTGAGGAAACTTCTACTTTTTTAGAATAAGCAAACACAAACGATTAATGATTTAAGTCAATGTTAATAATAAATTAGTTCAATAACACACCATTCATACACAACAAGATGGATTACCTTTTTTTTCAATGCTCCTTATATAATTGGTTGACTAAAAATTAGCCCCATTGAAAATTAAAAAATCAATCACCATCAGCCAAGAATTTTGCTTGTACTTTTTTTACTTTATTAATACATCTCACAATTTTCCCTAATTTAAAATTACATAACTACAATATCTACTAAAGATGTCTAAGAGAGAAATTATGAATTATATAATGTATCAATTCCAAAAATCTCTGTACCTAAATTGTAAAATCGCAAACCTTACAGTTATATTCCTAACTTTATTATTAAAAAAAAACCGGATTAATAAATAAACAAGAAAGAGCCATAGCTAAGCTGGATGTTAATGCTATATATTAAATCTCATATACTACATATAAAAATAAACCTTTAACCTCTATCGGGTCATTCTCAATGTTTAAAATTCGCCTGAAAGTATTAAAAATAATTTTGGTATATATAAATTTGGTACATATTTCGATATAAACAATAAAATAATATAATATAATAATAATTATTCTTGTCTATGACATATTGTTAACGTTTTCGTACATTACAAGTACATGGTTACGCGAGTTCTCTGAGTTCTCATCAGCAAAACTGCCAAAAATATTAAATTACACAATTGTTATAAAATACATTTTACGTAACAATGGACGGCCAATTCAGGTATTTCTATCCTGTTCACATAAGACTTGGTTCACACTTTTAGAAATCTACACATTATTTTACTTATATTGACCATTAATTGAATGACTGGCCATTCATCAAAAAAGAAGAACTGCGAACAATATATAAAACGCGTAAAACAGGAATTAGGGATGATTATATTATTTTATATCAAAATTATTTTTAATAATTTTAACGTTTTAGGCAAATTTTAAACATTGAAAATGACCCGATAGAGGTTAAACCATTTGTTATACATGAGATTATTGTTGCATATATAGTATACAAGATTTAATATATAACATTAATATCCAGTTTGGCTCGTGGCCCTTTCTTGTTTATTTATTAATTTATTCGAATTAAGGAACCTTATTAAATTAATTGAAGTATTGTTAAAATACGGATTGATTTAATATATAAGTATATAGAAGTAAAATATATATATAATCTATCAATATTTAATAAATTTGTAGTAAATATGCAGAATAATAAAATATAATAACATCGGATCACTTAAATAGATTTGACCAGTCTAAAACAGTTTTTCAACAAAAATTCAATTGTATGCTATATTTTTCACAATTCTTCACACTTCTTAGAATCATTAATATGTTTTGATAAAACTAGAGAGAGACCTCAAGTTTTACATATAAAGTTTTGATTTGAAAGGAGTAAGAGTTCAGTATTTAATCATATTCTTGAAACTTAATTTGCGAGAAATTATTTGTTTTTAATTATTTATAATTTGAAAATTACGTAACGTAGAAAACTTTCATAAACTTTTAATATTCAAAAATACTAAACAGTTGTATTAGTTAGATAATTATAATAAAACGTATATATAAGTGAAAGCATTTCTTATAAAGCATTACATTACAAAATAATTTAATAATAATAGCACAAATATTATTATTAACATTATGAAATTACGCATTTGTCTTTCTTTGAGTGACTATTTCTAGAAATAAATTTGATAGATTCCTCAGGTTTATTTGACAAATGCGAATTTGTATGATAAACTTCTTGGGCTGACGTTACAGATTTTTTTTTATTTTGTAATTTTGACATATCGGTGACATTATGATTTTCTGCTATCATAATATTTTTTACATCTTTTGTAATTTCGTTGTTGAAATTCGAAAGATTCGTAATGTCCCGACTTTGTAATTTTGTGACATTTCGTCTTATTGGTCTTTGAACATCTATTGAATTAGTATCAGGATTTTGAATATCTTGACAGTGAATTTCCGAGACATCATTAACATCTCGACTTATTACTTCTGAAATAATGTCTGGACTGTTAACTTTTGAAAACTTTTCCACATCTTGACTTTGAATACTAAAACCATTATTGCTATTCTGACCATATAATCTTGAAATATTCTCGACAGTTTGACTTTGTAGTTTTGGCATATCTTCAATAACTTGATTTTGACATAAAAGTTTCAAGCTTTTTTTTGCTAATTTTCTTCTTACTGAAATTTCAGGCAGAGAGAGTTCAGTGCTAGAAATTTTCAAATTAGGATTCTCTATTAAAGCCTTTTGAAAAGGACTAATTATGTCATAAGACTTTTTTTTTCGCTCGGGCCTTTTAGGAACTTCTTTAACACAATTTTCTGCTAAATTATTATTTATAATTGTATCTTTAATATTCATAGATGTATTTACTATTCTCTCGACAATTATTGTCTTTATTGCGGACTCATCTTTAGATGTCGTGTTTTTTAATTCAGATAATGATTTAGAATAACTGTTAATACTTTTAGGAAAAACCCGCGATGTATCTTCATTCAAATTAGTATCGCTTTTATGCAATCTATTGTATTTGATAACTTTATCCGTATTATTATTTAACCGTAAAGGAGCAGTTAATTTTCCATTGAGAAGTGTATTATTTCCGAATAACAAATGTTTCTTTGATTTATTATCTTTATTCAGGTTATCATTTAAAATATCTGTTTTGTTAACTTGTTTTTCATCACTATTATTACTTATTGTTAGTATGGTTCCATCTAAATTCATCGTGTTCGCTCTTTTTTCTTCATTTTCTGTATTATTTAAAATATTGGTTTGTATATCTGCTTTAATTATATTATTCTCTTTCATTATATCATCTATTGTGTTGCTATTTAAATTTATATTGTTTTTCTTTTCTTGATTTGTTTCATTTATGTCACTATTCAGAACGTTGTCTGTTGGATTAATCCTTTTTTGTTCTTTTCTATCATCTGTAATATTAAAAACATTATTTTTTACATCCGTTTGCAACGTCAATATGTTGGAAATTATAACAGTAGGAAATTTGAAATTGTTAGTATTTATATTCATATCTGTATCTGCATTTGTGTTTGAAATATTTTTGTTCTCTAATGTAGGAATATTATAGTTCGATGTTAGTGGATCAATACGATTACTGTCAACATTTAATTGAGAATTTAATTCAATAAGACTATTTCTTGTCAAATCTAAACTATCGCATGCTATTTCCTTTTCATCATTACGCACTGCTTCAAATTCTGACAAATAAAACTGAGAACTCGTCTCATCAAATTTGAAAGGCAAATCGCCTTTCAAGTTTGCAATTTTATTTTGCTCTTCGATTTGATTAAATTGTTGATCAATCACATCAATGTCATTCTCGTCCAAGTTGCTTATTTCTTCGATATCAATTTCTAACTTTCGTCTTTCATTTTGTTTAATAGCGATTATGTTGGAAGTTTTAGATTTGTTATTACTTGAAGAACTGGTCTTATTAAAGTATTTAAGCATTTCCTCTGCATTTACTCTATTGGATAATTTAGGTTTAATATGTAACTTTACCATTTTTAGATTAGATGTATCTTCAGTTCCCTCACTTTGTGTAGGAACTTGATCTTTCGAAACAATTTTTTTATTCTCCGTAAAATATTTACTCATCTTCAACTGGGCATATTCAGTTGACAGTGGTCGAAGTCCATTTTCTATAACTTTATTCTTTGCTTTTCTTTGCTTTAGATCGCGCTTCAGCTTATCAAATGCGTTATCACAGTTACCAAAACTTGGAACACTACGCGATTCTAGGGGAACCAGTAATTTCGAAGTTTCTAAAGATACTTCGTCAAGCTGTATCTCTTGTGTCGGAGATGGCGATGTCACTATTACTATTGGATGTATCAACTCTTGTAATACGCTCGCAGGAGGTATCGGAGTTGTTGAATGTATGCCAATATTCTTATCAATAATATTGCTCATAGGAATATTATTACTATCGTCAATAAACTCAACATTCCTATCTCTGTTAATAAAATAGCTATCCTTGCTTTGATTAGTAATACTAATATTTTCACACTTAAATATTTCTATTTCTTCAGGCAAATTAGATTTCGAGTACTCTACTAAATCGTCCAAGTGATCGCTAATAATTGAATTGTCACTATACAACATCTCTACCGATTGATAAATCTCTGACGATGAAGAAGATAAAGAATTTTTGCTTTCATTCAAAGAAGTGATCATACCCGGCAATTCATTAGCATTAAGGATAGTTTCGTTATCAGAAACCTTGGAATCCTTGCTTGTTTCAATGCAAGGTATAATATCTGCAACTGTAATTTTCGCAACTGTTTCTAAACCAACTGTCAAACTATTTAACGCGGAATCTCCTCTCAAATTATTTGTAGATAAATTTAATGAATTCTTAACTAGATTATTTCTACCCCAATCATTAACATTTGCATTGAAATTAATAGAATTTGGTGTAAGACTTCTTATGTTAACATCGAGGATATTATTTTGTGAACAATCATCGTAAACTTTATCATCTAATTCGTCTAATTCTAATTGAATACTTTCGTCCACAAAACTTTCGTACTCAGAATTATTTTGATCCGAAATATTATTGTTAGTGTTATTTGGCATTGGAAGAGACTGATTGAAATCAGTTGCGCAAATTACATTTTCAGAAATTTGCGAAATAACATTGAGAGATGCACCATTTTTATAAGTGGAAATCATACTGTCTTGATCGTATATATTTTTAGCTAATTCATTAAAAATTAATGCTGTCTCATTGGAGAATTTTAGCAGTTCTCCGAAAGTATTTCTCTCGGATGATAGATCATTATCATTTGTATTCATGTTGGAAATTGTGGGCGATGTTACTTTGGATTCGAAAGAAATGAATGACTCTTGAACTATAGCGGGATCTATAGAGTCTTGAGATTGTTTCACCTCTGTTTCCGAACCGGTATCGGTATCACAATTGCGCGGTGGCACCTTCAACCATACTTCCTGCTTCCGAAGCTCTCGCGCACGTACGTCTTCCTCATCTTCGGTCGCAGTGCCGCTTTCATCATCTAATAAAGAAATCAAAATATATGTTACAATATAAATATAAGTTGAAGAATTTGTAATATAAGTTGGAGAATTTATTAAAATTATTTCACATTCTATTCTTTTTTCCCTTCTGTTCTCTTCATTTTTTATAATTAAAATCGATACAGAGAATATTTTCATAACGAAAATCGTGCTATGTAAAATGTAACAAAAAATATTGATGTTGTATAATTTTAACAAGTTTTGTGCGTGCGTGTACATATACTTTCATATATGTATGATAAATGTTACCTTCACTAGTATATTCATCACTAGAATCTTCATATTCGTTGCTCCCAGTGTCAGATTGCCCGATTGTAGCATGTGGATGCGAATAGCGCAATGTCCAATTTTTAGCTAATTCAAGAGTTCCTTCAGTCGTTAATGGTTGATCTATAGCTTCCTCAAATACTTCATTATCTTCATCAGAATCACTACAAAAAAATTGATAATTTGAACAATTATTATAATAAAAAATTTTAATATATGAATATATATACATATACATTGCTTTTTGTATTGTAAACGAATACAAATATTAAAATACAGATATACTCTAATACAAATTTAAAGTTTAAAATCTTATTCATATCAGTCATAATTAAATCAGAATTATTTTTATTTAAATACTATAAAGCTATACAAAAAGTGGTATGAAAAATATTATATAAATAATATATGCATGTTTACCTCATATCAGAAATATCATCACTGGATCCCATTTCTGCGGTAGAAGCACCAAAATTTCTGTCTGTCCATTCATCTTCATCCATTTGACTGTGACCTTCCTCGGGATCTGATATTTCTGCCAGATTTTCAAATTCAATTCTT